CCGCCCCTGGCCAGGCGGGTGGGGCAGGCCAGCAGGCGGGGGGCCAACCGCGGCCGGAGCCGTTCTCTTCCTTCGCGTTCTCGGGCGGCCCTATCGGCGGCGCCGGGAGCGGCGGGGCGGCCGGGGCCGGCGCCCGGCGGCCAGTGAGCGCCGGTGGCGGAGGCGGCGCAGGCGGTGGTGCTGGCGTGGGGGGCCCTGGCGGGGACAGGGTAGGGCCGATGCAGGCCCAGGCCGGTTCGCAGGCATGGCAGCCTGTGCGACCGCTGGGGCAGCGGCAGCACTATCAGCAGCAGGGGCAGCCAGGGCGGCAACAGCAGCAGCAGCAGCAGTGGGAGCAGGCGCCAGGCATAATGCGCTTCCAGAAGACACACAAATAGTCATGAGGCGTGCTTGGAAGGAGCTCCCTGCAGGTGGTTGATCGGAGCTGCTGTATCTGGTTTTGGTCTGGTGTGAGCAAAGCGCATTTTTTGGAGTGGCGGCTTCTTTGTTATGACATGTGTGCCATGTGCCGCATGTCATGGGTGTGAGCCTTCGTTTGCACTTGTCACTCAATCGCCCCTGGTCAGGGCGATTCAGGAGCTGCACAGGGGGTGTGGCCGTTCTTACCAAGCCGTGCGCGTTCCGTCTTGCCGGCGGCCGCAAGCGCGCGCCGCCCAGCGGCATCACCGAAGCGCATCAGCTGGTGTCAGGGCAGCACACACACCATACGCCATGCTGCCGATCGGTCGCCACTGCCCTACGCAGCTGCAGCACAGCTGCGAGGTCGCAACTGCCGCGTCTGTTCGTCGCAGCCGGCACGCCTGGGCGCACCGCTTGCGCTGAGCAGTTGGCCGGCACCGCCAACGCGCGGCGGCCCTGTCGCCGGGGTCGCGCACGCGAGCACACCCAAAATTGTCACCAGCGGTGTTAACCTGGCAGCTTCTGGTTGTTTGTGTGTGTGGTAGGGGATAGTGTGTAACGCACAGACACAGGTCACCCAGCACACGGCTTGTTCGTCTCTTCCATGCGTGCGCAGCTCACAGGGGAGGTATAAGAAGAGCTTCTCAGCTCGTTCACAAAGTGATGCGTTGTGGAAGCAGGTTTGTGTTGTAACTCTGCGGAGCCTGCACTATTGTACTGCCCCCTACACCCCAATCGCTGCCCAATGTTATGTGTTCTGAAGTTGGGGCCCGCCCTTGTCAGTGGTACTGTATTCCCGGACACTCAGCCGCACAAAAGCCCGGCCCCCCCGCGGCCCCGGCCGCACCCAAGCCGGCCAGCGAACCTGCAAGGCCGCTGGTGCCTCACGCGGTGCGCCCGCATTATCGCACGCAAGTTCAGGCTGCAAAGCACCTGCTCAGCTGGGCCGACGGAAAATCCCCAGCCACCCCGCGCGCGCCCCCTTCACTCGGCTACCCGTGCCGGGCCGCCGCCCGCGCCAGGCACGAGCCTCGACGCGCGCACGAACTCCGCCGCGCCGGCCTCGGCGTCAAAATAGGTGATGCCGCCCACGGTGCCGGCGTGGCGGCCGCGGGGCGCCTCCAAGTGTATGCCCACATAGTCGACGTCAATCCGGTCAAAGGCCACGGGGCCGAGCCATCTGGCGTTTTTTTGGTTGAAAGGAGTTTGCGTGCGTGAATGTCCAAGGCATGGGGGTGTTCCTGGCAGCATCATTCCTGCGTTGTCGAGAGGGGCTTGCCCCCGTTTCGCAAAGGCCAGAGGAGGAGAGGACGTAAAGCGTTGTGAGCAAAGGCCCCTGGAGAGGCTCGCACCCCCTGTGACCACCGCGCCAGCGGCCACCCAGGCCCCACCCACCTGATTACGCCGCGCGTCCGCTGCTGGCTGCCAACCACCACGACATCCCCCAGCCGGAACTGCGCCCCCGCGCCGCCGCTGCTGCCGCCGCCGCCGCCGCCGCTGCCGCGCCCGCCGCTGCTGGCGCTGGCGCTCCCCAGGCCGCCCGCGCTGCGCCGCTGCGCGCCGTCGGGGCCGCAAAGCAGCGAGTAGCCGGCGGCGTCCGCTGCGCGCTGCGTGGCGGCGCTCAGCTGGGGCAGCAGGGAGGAGGGCGCCAGGCCGGGCGAGCTGAGCAGCTGCCCCAGCTCCACCATGCGCCTGCGGAGAGGCGCAGAACAGCGTGTGTGTTTGTTTGTTTGTTTGTTTGTGTGTGTGTGTGTGTGTGTGTGTGTGTGTGTGTGTGTGTGTGTGTGTTCGAGTGCACGCATGCATGCATGCATGCATGCATGCATTTGTTTGAGTGTGCTTGTACATGTCTATTTGTGCGTGTACGCATGCACGCTGTTGCAGGCGAGTGGCGTGCACAAGCTGTGTGCTTGCAAGCGGCACATTGTGCAGCAATGGCGTTGACGGGGTGTGCTTGCTGTTAGTACCAACGCCTTCAATTGCGAGCTCGCAAGCCGAGCCCGGACAATCAAACCTCGACACAGCACCCACCCCTTCGCAAACAGCGCTGCCACCAGCGCCATGGCCCGCTTGAGGTGCGCCGCCTGCTGCTTGTCACTGGCCCCTGGGGACGCTGCTTGCTGCGCCAACGCAGCGGACGGCTGGCGCGATGCCTTGGGCGACTGCTGCTGCTGCTGCTGTTGCTGCTGATGCTGCTGTTGCTGTAGCTGCTGGTTGAGCAGCCGCGGCGAGAGCGGCTGGTGCTGGTGCTGCTGCTGCTGCTGCTGCTGCTGCTGCTGCTGCTGCGCTTGAGTTGTCAGGCAGTGCTGCCGCGGCGACAGCGCCGCTTGATGGCCCGCGCCAGCGCCCCGCGGGCTCGCGATTGGCGAGGCGCCCCTGCTTCCGCCCCCGGCCCGCGGCGAGAGCGCGCCCGCCTTGGCGCGCGCGCTGACGGAGCGCTTGATCGGCGACCACGCCCCCGCCGCCGCCGCCGCCGCCGCCGCGCCCTCCCGCACGCTCTCTGAGCGCCTGAACGCCGCCGGGCGGCCGCTGCCGCTCGGCGAGCGCGGGGGGCCCCGCGCTGCCGCCGACACGAGCACCGGCCGCGGCGCCTTTTTGAGGCCAGGGAACAGCTCCGGCGTCGTGTCCTGCTGCGCGGCCGCCCCCAGCGCCCCAAGCGCCGCCGCCGGCGTTTGCTGCTGCTGCTGCTGCTGTTGCTGCCCCGCCTGGCGGCTGGCCGCCGCTCCCAGGTCGGGCGTCCCGAAAACTTCCTCTGCCGCACCCGATGCCGCGCCGCCGTAACCACCGAGTGGCTCCGCAGCCGCCGCGGCTCCCACACCGGCCGGTGTCCGCTCCAGCACAGAGGGGCTGCCGGCGCCGCCCGCCTTCTGGAGGCTCCTCACGTGCATTTTGATGGCCTCTGCTGGGGAAGCCCTGAGGACGGCCTCCAGCGGGGCCCGCGCCCCGGCCGCGCCCGCC